CTAGCAGAGTCGCCAAACACTTGTGACCGCCCGTTTTGCACGCCGTGTTCATTTTATCATTTGCTTGACATCGTCGTTGTCATTGAGGAGTAGTCATTTTGTTTTCCATTATGTTGCCCTCTATTACAAATACTTCTTCATCTTAGATCATGTAGGTGAACTAAAATGTGGGAAATCAGAGGACTGGTGCAGGCAATAACGAGAACAAACAAAAGAAGTATATGGTGAGCATTCATAAAGTGAATTTTTGCATTGGTATTTTCGAAGCATAAGTCCAAAATGAAATCAACTCAGCATGCTTCAAGGACATAACTATGAAGGAGACCTTACGAAAGCTAGCTACCAGAAAATTCAAGTTGATGTACCTATTCTAGAATTCACATCCTTCTATAAGGACAAGTCTTTATAGTTAATTATATCTTAAGTAGTCCAGACAACTTAAGAAAGCCCTCAATTGAGGTTATAGTTTGTTCTAAAAAAGTTCAAATGTTGTTGTCAAGTAAAGGAATGTTAAAGTCCTATCATAAGGGTAGCAGATTCTTAAAGATTCCTAACTATCATAATATTTTGTTTTGTTGTTGATGATTTAGTTGATGTTCATCTTTTTGCTTCGGGTTTTGAATGTCCATCCCAACAGAACAGAGTTAACACACCCTAATCACATGCAAAGTAAATCTAGGATGACATCCGCCTTTTTCCTCTAGTAGGCCTGCATGACAAAGTTAGTAAAAAAATTATGTTTTTGTTTGTTAATTTAGTTTATTTGCTAATTTTTTTTATTTTTATACAACTCGATCAAGATTTTCATGGTTGCATGTCCCGGGTCGTCAGGTACCCTGGTATACTTAGTCCGAAAGGTGATCCAACCTATTCTGAACAAAGTATACTTGTCAACAACCACGGATTGCGTCGTCTAAGAGATCTTTGTAGACTCGAGCATCTGAGGTTCAAGTAATGTTCGATGATCTTTGTTCATGGTTTCATTTAACTTTTAATGTCATTTTTTTTATATTAGAGGTTAAAAATTTTAGGTTGCTTACGACTTATTAACCGATTTTTTTTTTGTTTTTTCATTTTTTTTTTTTTTTGTTATTTAGAATAACCCGGTCAATATCCCATGATTTTGTCATCCTAGGGTCATTAAGGTTTGTGGTTTGATTAGTCACAGTGACTAAAAAATATTTTGTTAACAGTCATGGGTTGCCTCCTCCAAAATATCTTTTCAAACCAAGTTGTATTTTTTTTGTTCAAGTTTAAGTTTTAACGTCTTTTAGGGTGAATTTTATGTTATTTCATTTAGATTGGTTATGTACTTTAGTCCAAATTATTCTTGAGTGAGGCTAAGTGTGTTTTCGTTCTCGTATGATAAATCAAACCCTTGCTTCACCCCCAACACCTTGGTCTAAGTTAATCTTAGATTAGTTCAAATTGGGCCGACGTGATCTAAAGTGAGTCTCCGTGTAATTTGAGTAAAGATGAATTAACCTAATTCTCCCTCAAATTATATTCAAACTTGTTTAAATTGACCAAAGTTTAATAGGATTGACCTCGGTTGACTTAGTTTGATTGGAGTAAAACTAGTCCTACTTGGTTTAGATTGGCTTGAGGTAAGTCAAGTTAAACCAAGTTGGGTTTACTTGGGAGCAAACCAAGTTGAGCTGGGCTAATCCAACAAGAAAAAAAATTTTGGTTTGTGTTACTTTAGATACCACCTTACCATACTCTTTCCACTTTCACTACAAAATGTACATGAATTTTATGATGTTAAAAGGCAAGAAAATAAACAAAATTATGTGAATTACAAATATATATTTACAATATTTATTGATTATCAAGTAATATCTAAATTTTAATATCAGTATCCATTTAACATTTAAGGTTTTAATAATACACTCAGCATTGCCTTCTAAATAAAACAAATAAATAAATATCAAAATATGGGAATGTCAACGTCCTGTTGAAACTAAAAGAGGAACAAATCTATAGGCCATACTGATTTCATCCTCTCCAACATGTGTGTAACAGATCGTGGACTCATCTCAATGATAATGATTGACTTTAACCATGAAATTTATCTCAATCAATCTTAGGAATCTTAGGAAAGTCAACTTGATCGTTCCCTTCATTCTCCGAATCACAGAAATTATTTCCTACGAACAGCGCATGCAGAAATACTGCATGCATTGTCCGATCTCAGCCGTCGATCACAACTTTTTTAGTTTTTATTTTTTTAAAAAATGAGGTCCACCGAAATACACTTTTGTTGTAATTGACGATCGAGATCAGACAATGCATACATCTCTACATACCGTTGTCCGTACGAAATAATTTTACCCCGAATCACAAACAATAAAAAAGCCAATAATAAGATTATCAGATTGAAATGACAGACAAACATCAATCATTATTCTAAAAATATACAAAATAATTACACGGCCGTTCATCTATTTTTTTTTTTAAAACAAGGTCTGAAATTTCAAAGCCTTAGATTGGGATTTTATAGAATTAACTAATTCACATTTACCTGAATGAAACCAAACAGTCATGTATGTTTTTGAAGAACTCTCAATAATTTGAAACGAACATGAAAAATGAAAAAGTAAAACAAAATTCATTTCACTAAAAAAAAAAAAAAGAAAAAAAGAAGGAAAAAAAAAAAAAAAGGAGAAGAAAAAAAAAGACGATCTTCTAAGTAAGATGGAAATGCAAATTTTTTGTGAGATGGATCATTGCAAGTCTAATCTAGAAAAATAAAATTAAAATAAACAGGAAAAAAATTACCAATGCAAGTATCAGTTGGAGAAAAAAATATTATGTTCGCAAGTTTGGACGGCCAATCGCTGAGTGCGCCGACTTGTATGGCAACGGGCGTCTAACGATTGATTGTCTAGACGTGCGGAGTTAGGATGTAAGATTATCTCTAGTTGGAGAGAGTTTCGGGGTTGAGAGATTGTTGTTCAGTGGGAGTCATGAAGCCGAAGATGTGCGCCACCTCAACAGGATATTAGGGCACTCTTATTGGGGATTATAGCAGGTGGCGGGGAAGTCACGGTGGAGAGGGTGTCATCGACGGAAGATTCAGTGCCCAGTAGCGGAGAGATTTGGTGCCGCTTGTGATTGATTTTCTTTTTATTTAAAATGGAACTGTAATGTAGGTAGGGGGTATAAATGATTGATTTTCATTTATATTTCGAGCTCATTTATATTTCGAGCTCAGAAAGTGTGTTCGTGTTCAGCTCGTTTGCTTAACGAGTCGAACACGAGCAATTCACGAACTAAAAATTATTTTGACAACCCTAATCACATAGCCTTGGGGCAAGATTTAAAAATTATTATTTTTATTAAAACATCATTTGAATCAAATTTAATAATTTAAATTTAATAATTTTATTTTATTTTCTTAATTAATGCTTTTATTTGATTATAAATCTGTGTAGTCTTGTAGTCAATTAATTTTTTAAAAAAAATTAATTAATGAGTAGTATTTCGAGGCAAAATGAGCCAAACATGGACGAACAAATCTTTGTTCATGTTCTGCTCGCTAACTTAACGAACAAGCTGAACACGAGCTTGTTAATGAGCCAAGCACGAGCTATTCAGAAACAACGAGTCGTGGCCCTACATGTAGGCCAGGGATTCTGCCTTGGTAGGTTCACGTGAGCACAAAATCTTCAGGTGGCATGACTATTTTACCTACTTTACAGATTAATTTTTAAATCAATCTATTTTAAGTAAAAATTTTCACTTTTTAGTTTTGGATTGGTTGTTCACTCCCGGGATTTCTCTTTTCTCTGCTGCTTTGATTTTCTTCTGATTTTCATAGGTTTAATCCTATTGTTTGGATGAAGTTCCATTGTTCACCTCTTATTATTTACTTCTTGTACTTATTTTGCGCTGGCTGATGTTGTTTGCTTGTTGTATCAATTTTCGTTTTTTTCTTCTGCTCATATTGGAGAGACTTCTTCTATCCCGCATGGTTGCTTGAGCTGCTTCCTGATGGTTGATATTTAAAAAATCTGTACATTTTTTTCGGACATTTAAATACATAGCACTCATATTTAATGGATTCAGATATCTCACGCCAAAACTTCTATATTTACAGTATAGCATTCAATTTTTCCGAAAAATAGCATCTTTCATGCATAGGTAAAGGGCAAGCGTGTAAATATCAAAGTTTAGGTGTGGGATACCTAAATCCATAAAAATTATGTGCCAACTTTCCCTTGTTTCCCGATCATGTGGCCTTCATCTCTCCCGCTGCACCATCCAGCAGGCATAGAGTGCAGAACTCGTACTCTACATCCGCCTCAGAATTTATTTCATATGGCACCAGCTGCGCCTCTCTGTCTGCCTTCCGTCCCAGTCCCAGCGAAATCTCCGGCCCCATTTCGCTATTCATCATTACTCCACTTCAGTACTCTCTTCCCCGCATCAACAGTCTCGACACTCACCTCTATAATCTTATACAGCAAAAATCACAGCTTTATCTCTAATCATAAAATTCTGAGTTAAAAGGGCCAATATCTATAGTCTTTATCCTCTTTATATGATAATTTTATCAGAAACGCTTATCTTAGCCGTTAGTCTTGAGGAGCACGTGAACCCCACCAGTGTCAGATGATCATTGTACTGTTTCATGGCGATTTTACCTTCCGAAGACGACTAGTTTCCTCTTGCAACAAAAGACAGGAAAGTGACTCCCACTCTCCCTACTCTGAAGGATTCCCCTTCTGAACAATTCGTCAGCTAATAAAGCCTATTCAACACAACGATGGAAGACCAAAAAAAAAACCAGATTTGTTTCAAACACAACTTACGAGGAAAGATTTGACACTGTACAGAAGGAATAGACTAACACTTTCCTTAAATAATTCATTTTTCTCCCTGGTTTTTGTAACGTTTCAATCATCAATGGCGCCATGTTTCTAATAGAATAAAAGATCAAGTTAAAAGTTTGGGCGAGAAAAAAATGCAATCTTTTCGTTCAGAAAGAAGCAGTATCAGGAGAAAACGTCAGCTTTTATTTCTAACAATCTACCGATACAAAATCAATATAAAAACTCATCCCATAAAACTCTGCTTTTTTTTTGCTTTTCTTTCAAAAAGTTCGCTCCTTTAATTTCGCTTGTTCATATTTACAGTTGCAAAATCGTTCCTTTTACAAAGGCAAAACAGAGTAAGAAGAGTCGTCAAACTCGCCGCCGGCGAAGGAGCTATCAACGCTAGCTGAAGCCCACATCCGTCGGTCAAATTCTTCCTGCATCTCTTCTGGGATCAGCTGAGTTCGACAAAGAGGACAGGTTCTCTGGTCATGATCCACCCACCGGTCGAGACATCCTCGATGAAACACATGGCGGCAGTTGCTCAGCCACCGGACTTCCTCCCTTTCTTCAAACTCCAAAAGACAAACGGCGCATCCGTCGGCCACAGGTCGCAGTTGGCCCTCACCTTCTTTGAGAAGCTCGTCAAACCGGACAACGGGGAGAATTTCTTGTATAAGGATTGCGGAAGCGGAGCAGAGCTGTGGCGGAAGGTTGGCATCTGGCCAGGGGAGGTCGGAGTCGATGAGGTGGCTGAGACCGGCGACGGCGAGGATGGAGGACATGAGGCGGCGAAGGAAGTTGAGGAAGAAGATGAGATGGAAGATGATTTTGGGGAAGAGGAGGTCGGAGTAACCGACGGGAAAGCCCATGGATGAAGGATGAAGGGTAAAGGAGGGATTTTTGGGTTTGCTCTGATTTTATGATGAGGTCTGCTCTTGTTTAAAAGGAGGAGAAACGGATGTCGACTTGTGGGTGGTGGGCCTCAACGGTCTTTTGGTTGCAGTGGCCAACGGAGATGAATGAGTAATCCCCCCCAATTTCTTACATATATATATAATATATAAAATTTACTTTTTATATATATATTTATCCTAGCTGAATCTTTCATATCACATAAAAAATATTATCATTTTAATTTTTTAAAAATAAAAAATAACTTTACTTTTTTCTGTAAAAAAAATATAGGAATTGAGAGTGTGTAAATCTTTCATTATATTTTTTGTGCAATATTAGGGATATTAGATATAAAGAGAGAAAAAAGGGAAAAAAATTAATATTCATTTTTTTTTCATATTTTTTTTTCTTTTAATTTCTTAATTCTCTATCATTACTAATATGATTTAACAATTAACAATTATTTTATTAAGATTTGATTTTTATGGCATGTACCACTTTATAAATAGCTAATGAGTGGATGTATCTCAATTTTTTTTTTAAAAAAATATTAAAAATATATTATTTACTGTGTAACAAAAGAGAGACAATAGAAAAAGAAAAAGATGAATGAAAAGTAGATAAATAAAGCAATGTTACCATCTATCCTACCTTTCATGTGTAAATGAGGGCATTTTTTTTTCTTAAAGGAACATTATTTTTTAAAATTTTGAAAAAGAAAATTACAAAAAAATAAAAAAGAATATGAGAATGACCTCTTGAAGGAAAGTAAGGGAAAAGAGATTCATTTATAGTGCTATACAAACAAAATGTATATAAGCCAAACTCTATTCACCCATTTAAGAAGTGATTTTGTTAATAAAGGAAAATTAGTTTTACAATTCTCAAATTACTTAAGATCGCTTTAGTTTAATGTTTTTTTTTTTTTTATAAACAATATAAACAACGAGTTTATTTATGGATTTAAATTTAATAAAAAATTTCAATCACTTTATTTGGACTTATGTTGATTCCTTTGATCATAAATTGTTATTAAAATTTCAGCTATATTATTGATATCAAATTCAAGTGATTTAAGGCTCATTAGATTCAGCTTATTTAGATAGTTTTTTTACTATAAGTATTTATGATTTAGAGTTTGTTTGGTCCTTCAAATTGTGCCATGAAGATTTCAATTATCTTTTAATTACTTAATTTGGGTTCATTTTGATTTAGATTAAAGTATTTTTTGGTGATGTTAAGTTTTTCTTATTAAAATGTTTGTTACAATTTAGAATTTGTTGGATTTCAATTTTGAATAATCCCAAATTTAGTTTTAAAAAAAATAGAATAAAGAGAATAATCATAATGCATCTAAAAGTTTTTACCACAATATGTTATGCATTGCACTGGCTAAATATTGATTCTCTTACAACTAAAAAATCATATAATCTCAAATATTTTGATCAATTACAAACTAAATACAAAAGTCAAAATAAAGATTTCTAACATTTGAAAATAAAGGGGTTTACAAATCTCCTAATTTGGTATGCTCATAGTCAAATTGTGTGCTTCGACAAAAGAAATCTAACAATCTAAAGATTGTTTAATTCCAAAAAAATTAGTGCACCTAAACTTGAACGAATGATATTAAATCAAAAGAATTAATATAGACTATCAAATTATTTGCTTTAAGATTTTGACTAAATTTATTAAAATGCTTCAAAACACTAATACTAGTGCCTAATGTTCCATATGAAAAGGAGGGAGAGGAAGAGATTAGAATTCTTGTCAAAATCCATGGCCAATAAACAGTAGTAACTCCAATCCCGGTGCAGTTGTTCAATCACCTCTATCACACAATGTAACTTGATCGTCATCACTTGACTTTTATCATCCGGTAGTCATTATGTAATCAATATTTGCACATTTCACTTTTCTAACTTTATTATAGAATAAGAGGTCAAATTCAAGTTATCATTTTTTAACTCCATTTTGTCTATTTAAAGGAACAACATAATTTTGTTATTATAATTATGTAAGGAATCATGTTATTTAGGATCAACTCTTTGGTTTTTCTCGTGCGAAGTTTCTCACTTGACAATTCTCGAATCTCTAGTTATTCTATTTTATCTCGTTGTGTTTGCAGTGCTCACATTAAATTGGGATTTAAAACTCTCACTCTGCCAAAAATTTTCTAGTATATACTAAAATGCTCTTATTGAAATTTAATAAAATAATACGTTTATTTAATCCTGATTTGTTTGTTAATCACACCTCTAAGTGTTAAAGCGTAAGAAAGGAAAGAGAGAGGCGGAGAGATTGAAAGAGGAGTGAATACTAATGAATATTAAAACGTTTGCTTATTAGCCTTTTCCCAAAAAAATGATCTCGCTATTTATATGGGAGATGGTACAATGTATGTTATTACATTTCTGCCCCTACTAAATTTGGCGTTGTACGGGGTATTCTAGATATTTTACATGTATGAGTCTATTGTTCTGTTGCTCTATAACTCAGTTGGCTAGGCTAGCATGGCTTTGGCTCAGTAAGGCCATTATGGTTGGCTAATCTGAGTTAGTGCAACAAGTGTACTAAACATGATTAGCTTCAGGCATGACTAACTATGTTAGTTAGGCTTTGTCGATCGATTGACTTATGCTAGCTATCAACCCTCAATTTTTGGATGAGGAGCTAATGTCCCCAGAATGAGGCTATGTTATCGAGTAGAAAGTGAATCACTGTAACTCGATAAATAACTCATTCCATGACGAGGGGTCATTTGGGATATTCATGAAATTTTATCGTATTATCAATTCTAGGTCCCTGATGAGGAATCTTGGGGGCATTTGTGAGACATCTGGTAATATCGAGTAACTAGACTCATCACTCGGGTCAGATCTACCAGAAGGTAGGTCAGTGCCTTTGCTTGACTTTTCTGTAATGGTTAGCTCGGATGTTTCTCTTCTTGCTTTAATACGATTGGTTTGGACCCGAATCGTTCTTTTTTTTCCTTCTCCTTGCTCGGTTAGCCTTCGTCTACATCTAATTGGATAGGTGGACCGTGTAGTCTCAAATTGATGGGCACTCTTTTTTTGTACTTTTTTTCTTTTGGGCCATTGAATCTCCTTAGAATACATGCTGACAAATTCTTAATGTGAATACTTTAATTCTCTGATTCTCTTATTTCTTGAAAGTGACACTCCGATAAAAAAAAATATAAGTAAATGAAAAATTTGATATCATTAATTTTTAATCAAATCTTTAATAATTAAACTCCTTGGATTTTCATACCCATGATTCTTATAAACAGAATGTGATGGGACTCTTTTGATATTCCATTATGCTCTGCATCTCTTCATTTGAATTGGTCGATTTTCAAACGCTTTTATGGAGAATGTCTTGAACCCTCCAAATGAGCTCCCAATTATGAAAATAATGCTCGCTGCCTTCAGGAAGCTGACAGTGTGATACTGTCCAGAAGGTGAAAAGAAGAGGAAAAAAGTTTTTATCGTAAAGTTGAAAACGGACAAGCTAGTGAATTAAGTAGGGTCACTTGACTCATTTCTTGGTTCTCGACATAAGGCTGAGCGGGTGATGGAGGTTGATTAGGCAGCTCAAGTGCATGTTCTTCAGTTCGAGCTCCTGCCATGGCTCAAGACCACCGGTTGAATGGGTCGTACAAGAAGTTGTTGGTGATATGGCTTCGCTCGAGATGTAAGAAGCTGCAGGTGCTTTGCAACCTCTAGATGAGGGCACTATGTTAATGAATGAGATGGAGTTGGAGAGACTACTTTGAGCATCAGCCTTGCTTATAATGTTTAAATTTTTTTTGTCTCCTTCTCCTTGCATCGTTTCATGGTGCATGTGAACCAGTCAATCGAGAGGACGACTCACCTCCGGTTGATGTTGGGAATGATCTGATCGCGATGCTGGCGATAGCTGCACAAGTATCAGTCAAGAGCAAGGACTATGGGGTTGACCGCCTAGACTATCCCACTAAAGTCTGTGGGTAAATGACTAATGGATGTGGAACGTCCCATGGGTCACCAACTCACGGCCTCGACAAGATTGACAGTTCCTTCGCTTGGACAAGTAACAATGTTTCGACAACATTAACCAAAAGGTGATACTTGAATGGTGGTTATTGCTAATAATAATATCAATTAGGCATGGCTTCATAATTCTACAATTAATTAAGATCACTCCAATTTTAGGTTTCATTTATATGAATAATGAGTCTATTTATGATTATTGAGAGTGACACTTCAATAAATTTAACAAAAAATACCAATCACTTTGTCCGGGAACATGTGTTGATTCCTTTAATCATAAATTGTTCTTAAAAATTCAACCTTATATATTTTCTTACATCGTATTAAAGTGATTTAAGGCTCACCAGATTCCTTTCATTGAGATAGTTATTTTTTTACTTTTTTATTTTTATTTTTTTTTAATTTTATTTTTGTAGTAAATAAGATTTTGAGTTCATTTGCTTCTTCAAATAGTGCAATGAAGTTTTCATTTATCTTCTAATTACTTGATTTGAGTTCATTTAAATATAGATTAAAATTATTTCATGGTGTTGTTAAGTTTTTCTTATTAAAATATTTGTTACCATTTAGAATTTGTTTAATTTCAATTTTGAATTATCCCAAATTTAATTTTTAAGAAAATATAATAAAGAGAATAACCAATGCACCTAATTGATTTTACCAAAATATGTTAAGCTTGCTAACTAAGAAACTCATGCAATTCCAAATATTTTGATATATTACAAACTAAAATTCAAAAGACAAAATAAAGATTTCTAACATTAAATAGATATGCACAAATGATATCGCTTGAAATTTTATTGTTTATGAAACTAACATCCCACCTAATAATAAATTATTGATTTTGTTTATTTTTGTGTATTAAAATTAATATACCATAAAAGAAATTTCATTTAATTAAGCATAAATCTCAATGCATTTTGGATGAAGTAATTTTTTATATTCGACCATATGGTCATCCGAGCTTCAATTTCAACAAGTTTATTATAAAATTGAACGCCTAAATGAGACAAACCCAACAATACTAAAATCAATCCAATCGAAGTCCAGATAAG